TTGAACAAATGTACAAAAAGAGAAGCTCTTGCTTAGCTCGACTTCTTGGTAAGATCTCATTTCCAAAATACAAGCCTTACATTGATACACTAAAACAATTACCACTCTCATTGTTATGGATCGATCATATGAGTTCCAAAGTGTAAAGGAAAAATGGAAAAAAAAAAAATTATTGATAAATACCCATCATTCCTTTATCATAACGAAATTTTTATAATTAATAAAAGCTGACAAAGTAAATTGTGGGTATGAGAACAGTCAAATGTTCAATTTTTTTTGTAAAGGTGTCACTGCTTACGTGTACTTTAAATGTCATATACTATGTACATATAATTATACGTAGGGGATCAATTCGTTGTTCCTATTGACTTTTCTAGTAGTTATTTGTGACGGCTTACACGTGAATACACTAAGAAATTGTTATATTCTGCTAGTAAACTATCATTTCATTAGTATAGAAAAAAAGGGAAAATATAATTTAAATACTCATTCCGTCATTTCTCAAAGCCCATGAACCCGTTAAATACTACTTAATTTAAATTTGTCCATGGTTTTTCTCGCACTCTGATTTATAGATTATATATTTCGGTGGACATAAATTTATTCATATCAGATGGAATATTTTTCGACGTTTAAAAAACTTAACTCACATACAATGTGTACTAGGTGAATTTAAAAAACTTAACTCACAGAGCATAATAAGGTTTTTTCGTCCATTAAAAATGTGCACTAAGTGAATTTTAGGACAAATCAAAATGTCTTATACTAGAAACCGGAGGAGTAGTTTATTATTATGATTTTGTCCTCTACTGCAGATTTAGTTAATGCAATTCACATGAAACATGTCCATTTTCTTGCGGTTGGCATTAAATGAAATGTATATCTACGTTATATGTTAACCTTAAAACGGGTTTAGGCTTTGTGAAAAAAGGTCAAATTAAATTAGGTTTTGTTCACGCGGATTGACATTAATTGCACATAACAAATCAAAATTATCCAAAATTTGGCCTGTGTTGATCGATCTTGATAACTCATGAAATGATCATGATATGATGGGGCTAATTCATAAATTTCATAGTGATAACTTCATATAGCATATATAGTTGTGGTGTAGTCACTCAATCGATTCTACTTATGTACGTGTTACAGTAAGGGAAAAAATAGACGTTTAAATATTGTACATGCAACACGATAATTACAGAGGTAGCTTAACTTGTAGTGTTAGGCTGCAAGAAAAATCTAGTTTCACTAAGACAAGTATAAAAAGAACAATAATGTGAGACTGAACATTATTTGGCTGATTGTATATTTTTGCATTGAACTTGTATAGTTATTTTGTTAGATGTTATAGTTATACATAGTAAATTGAGTTGATGAATTTGACCAAGAGCTCGAGATTACACTTTAAAAAGATACAAATAGTAAATACTACTAAATTGTAGAAAGCAACCAGGTGGGCAATTGAGTACTTGCGTAACTCCCTAAACCTAGTTACAAATTGCAAAATTTAAAACCTTTAAAATGTTAAAATGGAACTTCGTGATATCATTGGTTTTCATTTTTCAAGTGTAACACTTAAATCTCATACTCCCTTATCCAGTTTATATTTATATTTTAAAATGTATTAAAAGTAAAATTCAAATTAGAAAAGAATTTTAAGACAGAAGAAATAATAGAAGACGGGCATATTAATTACTCATGTGCGGCGTGAGTTGACTTGAAACTTTTCTCAAGCTCAACACTTATGTAAGTGTATCACTACAAATTTTAAGATTAAATGTATAAACAAATAGCATTAAATTTAAATCATTAAAAAAAACGAGGAAGTAAAATGTCGAACAAAAAAATGCTACGGAAAAACCGAATTACTTCTCCATTTAAAAGTTGAACAAAGTGATTTTGATTCAATTAAACTGAGATAATTAAGAAAGAGATTTTTGCAAAATTAGTGACAAATTCGGTTCCACGGACTGAAATATAAAAGAGGATACCGTCGGTTTTTATGTTGAAGCTATATATAGCGACTTCTTGCTTTTTTCTTGGTTAACTATTTTCTACTTCTTGCAATTTTTTCCTAAAACAAAATATGTAATAATCTTATAAAAAAGTGAGTAATAAAAAATAGTAGAAGGAAAAATAGCGGCTATGTGGCCATTGTTTTTTCTAGTGCAACACTAATCTCACAGTTGAAGCGTGACAAGTGCGTGCATATTTGGTTATCTCTTTATTTGCACAATCATATGCTTTTCTGATTTTTATTATAAGATATTTTTTTTAGAATTTTATTTAATCTTACTTGTACGGTATTTGATATTTGTATGATTTTATTTATACTGTTCTCTCTACTTTATGGTTCATTCCAACTTAAATTGTCTAAAATTTAATTTGTTTGGATCCTAGCTAGAGATGTGGGGAATTATAATGTCATATATAAGTAGTTAGCAAATAAAAATAAATAAATAATTTCTTCAAGTATTGAAAATTAGTTATTTATTTCTTGTATTAATAATCTAAAAAAATGTAAAAATTTAAAATCGCCAACAAACGTCTAGTACTTTTCATGAAATCCTCTTCATTATGTCAAACATTTTGATTCAACCTATGTAAGAAACATAATCCAACAACTTTGATTTGTGTGTTCACAAAATTGAAATCTAATAATGCATGCCTTCCCTGATTATGTTTCTCCCTCAATTTCCATTTACTTTTGAAGTGGAAAAGGGGAGGGACAAAGAACATTCAATCCTACTATATATAGATCCCTCCATTAATAACCATTTTTAAAAACCTCAATTTAATGAACTTAATTCATGACCTTTTTTCCCCCACCAACTTTTCATTAATATAAGTGCGAGAAATAATGGGAAAAAAAAAGTAGTACGATACGCGCACGTTTGATTTGGGGGATAAAAGTGTAATTTCGTGGCACCAAGTCTTGGAACTCATAAATTGATTGTGGAAGAAGGAAATAACCCCCACCAGGCATGGTATGTTAGGTATTTGGCGCCGACTTAAACAATTACAAATACTTTCAACACATACAAATTTCAAGAAATACACAACCATAGTTAGGAAAAAAATTCCCTAAAATTTACTTAAGAAAGGGATAAAAAGACCCATAAAAAGGGAGGAAAAAAAATGTGTACCTATTTCCAGTCGCCCACTACGTAGAGTACAAAATATAAGATTTATTGTTTTAAAAGGATGAACAGTGACTCCCTAATTATCGTAAAGTGACTCGAACCTGTGACTTATAACACAATAGAACTTCTCTGCAAACACGCGAGACACTAAGACGTAACATGTTTTGAATCTTACCAGTAAATATATAATGTAACAAACTCTCGCCCTTTCCCTCTTTAAAAAAAGACGAAAACGTATGTATTGTGAGCATACTTCGCTACACTTATCATACCCAATAATTTTTTTCTAATACGTATTTAAGAAGAATGTATGATTAACCATACAAAATCTATAACATCAAAATATTTGTAAAATCATGTATTAAATAAAATAATACAATATTAAAAATATTAATTATTTCACTATTAAGAACACACAAAAAGTGAAATGTAAAATATAACACTAGGATCATTATTTTTAATTGTTACACTCATAAGTCACAACTCATATATTTAAAACGTGACAAAAGCGTACATATCCCATACCTATTTGCACATTCAACAATTTTGTAATTTTTTAAAGTCCCAAATTCAAATTAAATTTAAGTTACAATACGAAAAATAGAAAAGTGAGAAATAAAGCGCCGGACAAAACAGAGTAACGGAAAAACTTTAATCATCTCAACATTTTTGTTTATGAAAGAAATCAAGTTATAACTTTGACCAATATCCATTTCAACATTCAACCATATTCAAAACTCAATTAAACCCCAATTTAAAAAACTCAATTCTTGGTTAACATTTTTCTCCCAACAACTTTCTTTAATGTGCCAAGAAAATTGAAAAGAAAAGAAAAACACAGGACACACACACGTACAGCTGAATAGGGGGATAAAAGAGTCATTTGTTAGGCTTTGTATGACTTCTATATTTCATTGTTGTTAGGTAGACATATTTGGCGGGTACTTAAAACAGTGATTCATTCACTTACAAATACTTACAAAATTGAATAAATACACACAACAAAGCAAAAAATAAATAAAAAACTCCCACAAAAATTGACTTAAAAGAAAAAGAAAAGAAAAGAAATAAAAAAGGGTAAAAAGATCCCCCCCACACAGGAAAAAAGAAAATATCAGAAAACACCTCCCTCCATCCTCCTCTCACAGTCTCACACTGAGAAGAAAGAATATTAGTGAAGAAAAGAAAAGTACTTAATATAAATTCACACACACACACACACACACACAAAACAAAAACCACATCACAATTCACACATCATCTCATCACAACACACATCATCAAGGATTTACACTTTTTGGTGTGAGAAGCCAAAAAAGCAACACATTATAACTTAAAATAAAAAACCAGGCCAAAACACACACACACACTCACACACAAAACAAACAAGCTAGCTTCACTGTGGGAGAAGAAAGAAGAAGAAAATAAAAACCAAGATTCAGGAGGAGGAAAAAAAAAAAAACTCTATGTTCCGATTTTTTTTCAGTGTGTTTTTAGATATTTTTTGTATTGAAAATTTTAAAAAGTGTATAAGAAATGTAAAAATTATGATGAGACGAGACAGTTATTATTTAATTATTTTGACATTACTATAAAAAACCAAAAAAAAAAAGAAAAATTAGAAAATTGTACACATTGAGTGTGTGTATGAGTGTGTGATTACTGATCACTGTGTATATATACACATTTGTGAGATTGACACACAATCAGAGAGAGAAAGAGAAAAAAAAAAGAGAAGTAAAAAAAAAAAAAAAAAAAGAAAAAAGAGAGAGAGAAGAAGAAAAAGCAAACACAAAAATCCACCACCCTTTTTTTCCTCCCATCTCTCTAAAACCACCAAACCCCTTCTTCTCCACCTCTTTCCTTCCTTTTCTTTCTTTCTTTCTTTTTTTCTTTCATTCACCGATCACTCTCAGAAAAAAAAAAAAGAGTAGAGAAGAAGCCCTTTTCTCTTTCTCTTCTTCTACTTGTTGTTTGTATACAATCCACCTATATATATACAGATTATACAGATTCTGTATATATATTTATTTATTTTGTGTAGAGGAGAATTTGTGAATAGGTTTCAGAGTTAGAGAGGGGTAAAAAAATGGACAGGTACACTGGGACCCAGACAATGGAGGGAGCGGATCCGGTGGCCGAGTGGACGGCTCCGAGCGGCGAAACTGGGCTAGAAGGTGGAGTTTTTTTTGAAAAGGGAAAAACTTGAGATTGATTGTTTCATTTTTTTTCCCCATTTCTGCGAAATTTCATGTGAATTTCGATCGAATTTCGCGCGAATTTTTGGTGTTCTTTGTAATGTTGAATTGGGGGTGTTATATGAATGTGTGTTTTTGTTTTGATTCTTTGTTGGAAATGCAGAACCGATGTGGCAGTTGGGCCTTGGAGGTGGGCCCGAATCGTACCCGGAAAGGCCCGACGAGGCAGATTGTATCTATTACTTGAGGACTGGTTTCTGTGGTTACGGTGCTCGCTGTCGGTTCAACCATCCTCGTGATCGCACTGCGGTATATTTTAGTTTTCATTTTACTCTTCTTCTGGGTTTTTTTCACCTTTTATGTGGCCGAATCTTGTGTATTTTGTTGTGATCATCGGCTCTAAGGTGTTCATTTTGCTTTGATCGTTGTGGGTTTTAGTGGGTTTTGTTAGATTTGATGATGATATGCAAAAAGATCGGGTCTTTGAATTAAATTCCCTTTTGGGTCTTACCTGGAAATGAAAGAAGTTTGTACCTTTTTGATGATCGTCTTGCTTTTTATGGAAAATATTTATTTGATATGCATTGGCTGAATGTGAATGTGTGATTAATGTTCAGGCAATGGGAGCTATGAGGGCCAGCGGAGGGGAGTATCCAGAGCGTGTTGGACAACCAGTTTGCCAGGTATACTTGACTGTTTTCTGTGTTAGGATTATATGCTGCCTTGATCTTTTGAAGGGTTTGCATCTGTGATCCTTCTTCATTTTGAAGGGTTTCACATCAGTGAGAAGGCATTCTTTTGCTTAGCTGTGGTGTTTTGTCTGTACATTGGTGGTTGTGAGAAATGAGCCATCTGCTTTGAGGACCATGTTTTTTGTCTTGTTCTTTCCTTGTAGGAATGCTGTTGTTTCCTAATTCTGGGTGATCACTTTTGGAAATGTAGTATTTTGAGCTTCCATATCCCTGTATTTCGTCTGTTTGTTGTCTTTCTGGATGATCAGGGTTTTTATTCTGTTTGGCTTTGGTCTTTTGTTGCTAGCTTATCATCCCTCATCAGTTTACTTGGGGCTTAGGGATCAAGTGTTTTCCCTATGGTTATGCTTGAGCTCATACTTTCAACGATCAATTTAAAATGTGTTTTAATGGGAGTAAACATGATATTGAATCCTGTTTCTCTTCTTTCTCTTTAATGTTTCAAACTGTAATTTAATAAATTCGTCTTTTCCTATGTCTGGTTGATCAACAGCTTTGAATACCTTAATCAGTCCTAGATGTTTGAAACTTTGATTTGACAAATTCTTCCTCATCTTTGGACAACATTATTAGCTCTTGATGGCATGGCTAAACTGCTTGTGTTTTCTCTTACAATACTTAATGTATCACAACCACATGCAAGAGAACATGGATAATGAATTCATAATTATTTGAGTGCTGCTCAGTTTAAATGCTAGGTCAGAATTCTGTCTTCGACTTGAATATGTAGACTTTATGTTCTCACAGGCTTCATTTGTGGAAACAGCCTCTTTTTTGAATATATGATTAAGCTGTGTACATCAGGCCTTAATGGCATGATGCTTCCCCTGCTCTTGCACACATAGGAGCTTTTATATCTGGGCAGCCCCCTAAGCCATTTTTGGTGGTGAATTTAAAACTGGATATTTGCTGTTCTCATCAAGCCTGTAGCTATTTGGTTGCTTTCTCATTACATTGATGCAAGATTTGTATATGAACTCCTGTTTAGAAGTGGAGTTCTGCAAGGATACTGGCGCGTGCCTTTTTTTTTTTATCTAATCTTTTTTGGGGCAGAACTCGTGCTATTACTCCCCCTGGCTCCGAATTAATTACGTGGTTTCAATTGGTCTGAGTCTAAGTTAGTCTGTATCTGTTGAGAAACTTGGGTTTGCTCTTGAATAAATCTTCTTTTATTTTGCATCACTTCTGTCGTTTTCTGAATTTGTAGTACTACATGAGGACGGGAATGTGCAAATTTGGTGCTTCCTGCAAGTATCACCATCCAAGGCAAGGAGGTGGATCGCCAGCACCAGTGAATCTTAACATTTATGGGTACCCTTTGCGACCGGTCTGCACTTTTTCCTATTCCTTGACTCCTTTTTCCTTTCTTACGCTGATATTTGATCAATATTGTTGATTGTACTCCTAGGGTGGCTTATTGACTAGTTGTTCTTGTAGGGGGAGAAGGAATGTTCATACTATGTGAAAACAGCGCAGTGCAAGTTTGGTGTCACCTGTAAATTTCATCATCCACAGCCGGCCGGTGTTCAAATGACAGCACCAGCGCCTGGTCCTGGACCATTACCTGCACCAGCAGCTGTACCTGCACCTGCAATTTATCCTACAGTGCAATCTCCTTCTGTTCAATCGTCTCAGCAGTATGGTGTTGTTACTGGCAACTGGCCAGTTCCACGCCCTACTTTGCTCCCAGGTTCATATATACCTGGCACTTATGGTCCTGTGCTCTTTCCTCCTGGAATGGTTCCCCTTCCGAGCTGGACTTCCTACCCAGTAAGTGCACAACGACAATGAGTGGCTTTTCCACTCTCTGTGTGTTTTTGAGAGTGATTGGTGAAAGAAATGGAAGCAAAGAACTTGAGGGATTTGTTGGTTTTAGAAAAATGGAGGAAAAAAGGGTTATGGGTTTTTATGTTGCTGTTCTTTCACCCCCCCTCTCTTCTCTCTTTTTCTTTTTCTTTCTCTGATTGATCCCAAATGAACAGTAAGCACGTACTTTGCACGATGTCCAAAGTACCTATTCTTAAATGTATAATATAATAATGATAATGAAAGAGTAACTATTATCGTCATCTTGAATGGAAATATGTTTATCAGTAATAACAAAGAGCTATTTTAGATGGTTTCGTTAACTTTGAATACGTGATAGAGAATCTTACTATTTGATGCTTTTGCTTAAAAAAATATAAATAAATATTTACTATAAATTGGTTTTTGGAAGTATAATTGTATGATTTTAAATTTGAAGTTTAATTTCAAGTATAATGAGTATTACTCTTTTAATTGGTGTGAACTTATAACTATTTCAGGCACAAGCTAGTCCTGCGGTGACAGCGACTGCACAGCCTACTGTTGGAGCTGGCCCTATTTATAGCCTGACGCAGTTATCTCCTTCAGCTCCAGCATATACGGGACAATATCTGTCTCTTACTTCTTCTGCTGGTCCATCAGGAAGCGGCCAGAAAGAGCATGCATTTCCTGAAAGGCCTGGGCAACCTGAGTGCCAGTATTATATGAAAACTGGAGATTGTAAATATGGTGCTTCTTGTAGATATCATCATCCACAAGCAAATTTGGTCCTCAGCGCCATGGGTCTACCTCTTCGTCCGGTATATGCCTTACCGCGTTAAATGGTTCTTTCTTGTGAGGAACTAAAACCTCAGTTATTTTGTCTCCAGGATTTCTGATAATTTTGATTATAATAATATGGAGTGTTATTTTTCTTTACTTATTCATTTGACTCTTTTATGAAGTTGAAGTTTATTTCTTTTTCACTGAAAGACAATTTTAGATGCAATGTGTGTTCTTCTGGACTCATGTGTGACTATTTCAATTGTTTGTACCTCTTGATTTTACTCTCAGTTTTTGCTTGTAACTTCTGGATTTCATTTATACGTTGGCGGAATGCTTCAAATTACGATAAGTTCTAGAGGTGTGACATAGGTGATTCCAACAATTTACATTATGGTGTAATTGCACAAGCCTTGCCCACACCCTGCACACACTGGAGCTTCTGTGCATCTGACTGCTTTTTTCTTTCCTTTTCGTTTTCTTTCTTTTCTTAATAGAATTAGATAACATCAGTGGGTGCAATCTGCTGATTTTTGAATGAACTCATCCCTAGTTCTGGGTCCTTGTATGATTTTCTGTTATTCGTAATGTCTCATTCATTGTTTTGCTTGCCCTCTGTCCAGGGTGTGGCTATTTGTTCTCACTATTTACAGAATGGAGTATGCAAATTTGGGCCCTCATGCAAATTTGATCATCCTATGGGAACACTAAGCTACAGCCCTTCTGCGTCTTCCCTCGCTGACATGCCGGTTGCTCCTTACCCAGTTGGTTCTTCAATGGGTACTTTGGCTCCCTCATCCTCATCATCCGACTTAAGGCCTGAACTTATTTCTGGAGCCAACAAGGATGCCTTCTCTAGCCGGATGTCTTCTATGAGTGGTTCCAGTGGTTCAGTTGGCTCATTGTTTTCGAAGAGCGGTACTGTCCCCCGTTCAAGTGGTCAGCTGCCAGGACAGGGATCTGCAACTTCAGGTGGCAGCAGTAGTGCAGTTCCTGGGAGTGAGCCTCGCACGTCAAGCTGAGGCAGAGCTGATTATGAGCTCTTTTTGTGCATAACTCTCATGGACTCGGTGATATATTTTTGTTGCAGATCACTTCCTAGGAGGCTATTTGTTCTTTTTAGTCATCCAGGTTCCACCATTCAAGTCTAGGAGACCTTAGATCTGTTCACCATTGTTCTTAAAATCATTATATGGCCACCAGTTCGATTCTCAATAAGCCATGCCCACCTCAAGAGATCCAGCTACCCAGTATAGCTTCAAGCTGGTTCTGAATAACAAGAAACAAAAACCACCTCAGACTTAGAAATTCTACATCCCAGCCTAAATTTTGGAGCTTGTTGTCTGTTGTCTGCATTTATATTCAAAATCATTGTCGGAACAGAAGAACTTTTCTGTTCCGCTCTATTCTTCTTTCAAACATTGACTGTCAAAAAGGTCCAGCTTTTGATCCCTGCTTGAATTTGGAAGAAGCTTCCAACTTGACTTAGGAATGAATACCGATATCTCCCTGTCACCTTCGCCCCCTTTTTGCCCGGGGCTTTTGTCAAATGTTGTGGAAAATTTATCAAGGAATGGTGTCAGGCCATTTATAACTGCCTTGATATGGTTAAGTTATATATGCTCATGCTGCTACATATGAATTTCTAGCTGAACGCTGCCTTGATAATTTGTCTTCACAAGTACAGCAGATAAATGAAGATACTTCTTTAACTTGTAAGGATTTATATTGTCACTTTTATTTGTGAGGATCTGATGGAACCTCATTTTTGCTGCTATGATACTCTTGTCCAGTTTCCTGAATAAAACCGTCCATGAGGTGACCCAACCTAGCATGCATGCTATATTCTGGAATGAAACCCGCCATGCCCTGCTGATTTGGCTGCTCTTGTATGATGCTTTGAACTTATTATTCTGCGATCATGGGTTTATCTTCGTTGTTTGGTGCCTTTCCCAGTTCTTTTTCTTATGAATGCGGTACTTCATTTTGCCCTGTCAGTTGGGACAGTTGCCCGGTTTGTCAAATAGTGTTATTTCTATTACTGCAACCAGACAAAAGCATAGAAACTGCGTTGCTTGTTTTTCTAGGAACAAGAGTAATATAGAATATCACTAAATATCGTTGCACATAGTTTAATCTCGTCCCATTTTAATAGTCTATTTTTGTATTTCTCGCACATATTTTCAGGTTGGAAAAAGCTTTGTGTGTGTGTGTGTGTGTGTGTTTGTTTTCTTTTCCAATATTTGGCCTACACGTAAGCCCCAGTTCCCAGTCCCTTTCCGATTCGACCCCAAAACTGTGTGATAAAGAGCTCTTAAGATTTTCTCCTTTGAAGTAGTTTGTCTATCTTCTAAAGAGCTTTTTTTTTTCTTTTTCTTTTTTGCCTTTACGATTGATTCAGGTTTGAATACATATGGGTAGCTTGGATTGTGGTTGTTGCAGTTATCAGAGGAGACACGAATTCCACCGACAAGACTGGTGAAAATGTGACAAAACTTCCATCATGTGTTGTTGTTACTTGTTAGTAGTATACAACGTGGGAGAGTAGATTATTAGGAATACCAAAACAGAGGAACAGGGCACCAATATTATCTATATCATATACTCCACTTTTACAAACTTTTCTTCTGACAAATACAACATCTTTGCACCCCTCCAAAAACCAGACACATAAAAAATGGGTTACAAAGAAAAAATAAAACAAATGCACCCCCACCCCCACCCCCCCAAAAAAAAAAAATGTTTCTGATTGTCAAGATTTGCCAACCCTTTTGAACATTCATATCCAACTTTAAGGGGGCAATGCGAGAAAAAGAAGAAGAAAAGGAATCAAACCAAAAGCTATACTCAAAATTGGCTGGCCAATTAAGATATGCTGATTTTCTTGAGGATGCCGGGGGAAACATGTCTTGTTTTTGGAAGAACAAAACCTTAGATCACATGGAATGTTTGGTTTGGGTTTCATGTGAATACGCGTTCTAAAAAAAAAAAAAAAATCCAAAAACCCTGTATTTATAACCATTGGATGTAGCAGAGTGAATGATTATAATATTGATCAAGTGTTCTTGTTTAAGATAAGATAAAATAATGATACTTATTCCATCCTAAAATATAACAAACATGACTTTTATTTTGAGACGCAAAGTTTTAAATTTAGAGACTAAAGAAAGGGTTACGTCAAAACCACATTGCATTACTTCCTCATAAAGTTAAACAGTAATTACATTTTTTATGAAGCTGGAAAACAAGAAAAAGACGGGGGAAAAAAATGCTGCAGAGAGAAAGAAGAAAAGCAACCGAACGACCAAAAAAAAGAAAAAAGAAAAAAAAAGCTTGAAGAAAATGCATGCAGCTTTATCCGGAACTTGTGATTAGGGTTTTGAGGCATGCATAAATCAATCACCAACCAAATGGTGGGAAAACTGCTGAAAATCCAGGCGAAGAAGAACTTGTGGCTCCTCCCATTGACTCATAGCTTTCAGCATGATCTGAAGTTGGATAGTAAGATCCCATGCACCTATTGTTGTTGCTAATGTTATTACTCATTAAAGGGTTGTTATTGTTGTTAATCACAGCCGAAAGCTCACAAGAATTCACCTCCCAACTGCTGTTGTTACCATAGTTAAATACTCCTCCTTCATAGCATGAAAAGTTGCTAATATGATGATGATCATGATCATCAGTAGCCATTGTAGTAGGAAGAACATCATTATTATTCCCATGATAGCTCAAATTGGAGTAAATTTGGTGATGATGATGATCATCAAGAAGCGAATTAGTCTCATGATGATTATGAGAGGGAGGCTTGAGGCAGTTATCAGGAACAATGCAATCCAAGTAGCCTGAATTGGTTTCATGGCTAGAAAAGAAGAAGTTGTCATTAGGGCTTGAACCATATGAGGATTGAGAACAATTGTCATTGTCAGATAGGATGTGAGAATTTGAGGTTTCTAAAGCAGTAGGGTAATAATGATGAGATTGAGAATGAGATGAATAAGAGCTAGTACTTGTAGTAGTAGTTGTAGTAATAGTACTATTTGGTTTACTAGTAGTACCATTGTTGTTGTTCTTGTTGTTGTTTTGTTTCTGCCATAGGGTTTGAAGATCCAAAGGGGTAACAAGAGAGTGAAAAGTTGTGTTGTCAGAGTAAACAAAATTGGTTCTTGCTTGTGTGCCCTTCATTGAAAGGGCAGCCCTATCATAAGCTAAGGCAGCTTCTTGTGCAGTATCAAATGTACCAAGCCAATGCCTTTCTTTAGTTGTGGGATCTCTAATTTCAGCTGCATATCTTCCCCAAGGCCTCCGCCTTACGCCGAGGAATCGCCCCGGCTCGGCTTGTTTCCTCCGGCCTCTCTTTTCATTAGGTGGTGTCACAGAGGATGTGTTACGTTGTAGTAATGTGAACCCGGTTTGTGTAAGGATGGGTTCATAGAGATTGAAGGGTTTTTCTGGGGTTTTTGAGCTTGACATTGTAGCCCAAAAAAAAAACCTTTAGGATGAAGAATGAATATTGAAGGGTTTTTTTTCGTCTAGAACTATAGAAGGCTAGCTGCAGAGTTCATGTGAAAATGCTAGAGAAATTGAGGTCTTCTTATAAAGGCCTGGGATTCTGATTTTTGAATAGGGAAGGAAAAGCAAAAAAATGTCAATTCATTGGAAGGCTGGCCATCCTCTTCCTTTTTTTAATTTTATTTTTTAAAATTTCGTACTTTTCTGCGGGTTCATATAATATAAGTCACGTACTTTTTGATGTTTCTTTATGATCAACATAATTTAAACAAAGAGAGCTTCCCTCCGATCAACATAATGTAGGGAGCTTTCTTTCCAAGAAGAGACCGACCCAATTCGGTGCGGATTAATCTTAGTGTAATACATTTATGATACAGTGCGCAGTATAAAATATATATATATATATATATATATATATATATTAAACAATACTCTAGTTATGAATTCATAAAAAAAAAAACTCTAGTTATGGGGTGGTGAAAAGGGTCATTTGAAACAAATTGTTCATTTGTGATAAACTTTTTTTTTCGAAAATTGCATATAACATATAGCATAAATCCATGTTGATTATAACTAAATGGATTGATTATGATTTTCATCTATTAATTAAGGCATGGTGAAGGCTCTAAATCAAACGAAATTTAGCCATCTTTTTGGCTAGATTTAACTTGGGGACAAAGGACTATTGCATCTCACGTGCACTTAGAGAAAAAAAACATCTAGAAAATGAATATCTGAGTTAGTGATAATCAAAGTCAGAGAGCCAAGGAAAAAAGGGCAACAAACAAAAAGATTATTTGTCTTTATATTTCTTGATAATCTCGAACAATTTTGAAATTTAGGGCATCAAAAAAAAAAAAAAAAAGTGGTAAACTTCTTCTACTATTATGTTTATGTGTCTCGATCTTGCACATGTTTATCCGCGTTCTCTGCCTAATACTTTCCATAAACACCCCTTTTGTCTTCTTCATCATTTTTCAAAGGGAGCAGTTGTACATTTTAAGTTTACCAAAGATGCATCATGCATACATAATCCTATCTTCTTAAGCGGTAAGAAAAGAGTGTCCTGCGTACCACTTTTTGTGTTACATGTTTTATAATACTCGTTCCGTTCCAAAATTATTATACTGTTAAAATTTTCATATCTAGTTCATATCATATTAAAAGTAAAAATTTAAATTAAACAATAATTTTAAAACTGTAAGAGTAAAGATTGTCACGTGTCCTTTCTAACGTTATAGTTTACGTTTTAAGCCATGGAATGAAATTCGCGACTTGTTACATGAAATGCAACACAGAAATGAAACAGTTTATTTTTACTTTTTTTAAACTAAGATTTAGATTGAGATTATTAATCCTAATGGAAATATTACTCAGAAATGTCAGTATTATCGTAAAAAAAAAATGCAATTCGCAATATTTGATCCCTTTAGGTCAAAATTTTTGGCATTATGTACTTGTCATTATTTTTAGGCTTTACACGTTCATTGTACTGGCTTTTGTCGTATTTAATTAAATCTTAGTTCATTTTGCCCTAGAAGTAATGTCAGATGAATGTAAACACATCCGTTACTTATTCAACTTAGGTCTTTGATTAGAATAAGGAATATGGTACAAAATTCAGCGGTGACTGATCTCTTTGCTATCTTCGTGAAAAAAGGAATCCACTTCGAAGCAAGGTTTTTACATCATATCATCTACCAAATTCTCAAATCAGATCTTCGTCACATCCATCGTGTTTCCACTTTTTCCCCCAAATCAATTAACAGTTATTTCATTCAGACTAGGGTTTACACAACATTTAAAAGGATTGACAATATTCTTTAAACTTATTCCGCTATTCAAATCCTCAATACTGTTGTTGAAATATAGAAGATGTCTTACTACTATACTACACCTCAATAAGACACGAATATCCCAATAAATATAAGATGTATGATTTGCTTTAACGATGTTATTATCTTGATGGAGTTTACCCTAAACTCACCATACGACAATGTACTTGATACTAAAGAGTGAACACAATTTACATAAACCTCCTTCACTCGAAAGCAGTTAATCTAATGCTAGGTAATCTTTCAAAAAGGGTTAGAACAAGTAATAATGAGAGAGCCAAGTGAACGTGGGATATGTGGCTTTATCACTAAAAGGACCCCCCCATAAAAGGCTATATAGTCAAAGGGAGCAAATCATAAAGGTTGAGGGGGGGAAGACATTAGAATTTGGAAGGCCACATGATCTCAAATTTTATTAAAACAATATCAGTGGGGGCAAGGGTGATTATCACTAAACCATTGCATCAGCAGTTCTAACAGTATACTTTTAACTTTTTTTCCCCTTATTGATTAAAAGTTATCACATGCCCAAATGGCATTGGGAACACCATAAGCTAATCATATAATCAAACGGGTCAACCCCTTTTTATGTCTTTATCATCCCAGAATCCCATACTGTTTGCCACTCTTTATCTATATTAGTCTCTCAATTTTTTTTTAATTATTTTTTATATTACTTTTGTATATTACATCCAGTATGCAAAATAATTGCTTAATTCTTCTTATTCGAGTTGAGAGAAAATCTCTTCAACTAAGTACTTTCATCTTGATTATATATACATATACTCAAATCCAAATATTGATCGTAGTTAAACTGATCTAATACGTACCTTTATCATCTATATATAAAATGGTTGTTGGTTTAGAGAATAATACTATAAAAACACAAACGAAAGAGTGAGGACAAGGACAGAATATCAAATTAAGGACAGACTCAATAAATTAAGAGTTAAAGAGAAACAGTACTCATGATCTTTTAGTGTTACAACCTGGGCAAAATCTATGACTCTTGACTCATCCACTATAGATGTTTAGGGATTGACTAAATAAGGATTTCTTACTTAAATTAATTTTCTTTTTTTCTTTTTTTTTTTTTAAATTTCGAGTGATGGAGCTATCTAGCTACAAAGTAACAACATTTGAAAGTGACGTGGAGTTATGCAATATATGTTCGTTCCTTGTATATATAGAATGTCTTGCATACGTAACAACAAGAAAAGAAGGGTTTTCGCTTACCAAAAATTAATCAGAAAAAGGGTTTTCAGAATTTGAATAAGATGAACAGTTAGTCAAGTCTTTAGTCTTCTTGTATGAAAAGATGTGATCCACTATCTACACATAATTCACAATTCCTTGTTAACTATTGATATTAACAACTCTTTGATTAAGACAAATTATTCAAAGATATTCCAAGTAACATGCATGCAATATACTGCAAAGGTAATTTTTTTTAAATAATCTTTCCTTTAAAGTACAATTAAACACAAAAATGTGAGGAAAAAAATTGTAGTAGTGGGGGCTCCCCCCAAAATCCCAATAAGTTCCATCCTGACAAGAGAAACTCTTGTGTGTGTGTGTGTGTTTTGGTCAGATTGGAATTTTTTGCACATTCTTCAAAAACACAATGCACACACTTTTAGTTGTAAGATGAAGGTCGCCCGGGATTTGGGGATAAAGATCATGACATTCTAATAAGGACTCTTTGAACTTTGACGAGACTGAGAAGTTAGGAATTTTGTTTGTCTTTTGACCAAACCTACCATATGGTATACACTCCATCCATCCGTCCCAAAAAAATAGTCCGTATTGAATTTTTAAATTTATACTAAAAACAGTACAAAATTCAATATGAACTTTTTTTTTTTGACAGAAGTAATATAATGCAGTGTATGTGAACTAAACAGAAACAAGAAATCCTGAATAAAGCTCCTAAATGGTTAGAAGTTCTTGGGGGGATACTTTTCTTATTAGTCAAAACATTCTTGCATGAATTGTGCAATTGAAAAGTAGGCAGAGGAATTATATGGGGATTTTTTGTTGCTCATTTTGTTGGACATAGTCCAGACATGATGTCCCATGCAAACAATGCTCAAATGTATCAATTGTGTAAGAGAGGACATAATGAACCAAAAGAAGAAGAAGAAGAAGAAGAAGAAGAATTAGAATTATGCGATTCAATCAATATGACTTATCTTTATGATTTGAAAGAAATATTATAAAAACGTTTTGGTTATAATAGATTGAAGAAACCGTGACATTATATGTTACACAATCGATTCATATTTCCGATTTCAATTGATTTCCTCATGTCATGTGTTTCATGTTTGGATCAGTTTTGGACATTTTCTTTCTTCTAAAAAAAAAAAAAAGAAAAACTGGGTAAACAAGTTGAATAGTTTTTAACCTAAATGAATCTCGGTGTACTTCCATTAACACAAAAGAAAAATTGTCTTTACCGTTTACAATATTTCCTCCGATTTTACTTATAAAATATAGTAGTATTATTTTAAATTTGCGATTTTTTAATAGAAGAACCGGAACGAGTACTACGAAAGTCTAACAAATCGAACGAAGGTACGTCCTTGGCTGGCCTGCTGCTGGATGCTGCCCATGAAAAGTTTCAACTGTCTCATCCAATGTGTGTTAGTTAAAACAGAATTCAACTTACTAAATTCATGGTTCACATAAGCAAGAAAGACTAAAGTGTTGATATGCAGCAATAATCGAAAAAGTCCATGAAATGTGATTGATACAAATCAAACTCTTAATCCCCTGCCAGTTCGTAATGACTGATGTACTAATTAATAGTTATGAGTTTATGACCAATATGATACTCACTGTCTTTATATATCAACACTACTGTAACGATCTCTTCAAGTCGGATCAAATTCCAAAAAATAAGAGGAGAGATAGAGTTCTGACTAAAAAAGTCATTTTTCATTAGTTCTTCTTCTATCGTGAAGCTAATTTTGTAACGAAGTATCTGGCAACGTTGGCTTCTCAGAATCCTAGAGGTCTAAAATGGCTTTAAAGTCCATCATCAGAAGTATTACTATGATCGAAACATGATGTAATAGAGTATCGTACCCTACACTACAAGAAAAAAGGTTTTTCGGGACGCCGCAAAACGTCTCAATAAGCCACTTTTCGGGACGCTTATTGATTTAGGACGCATAGAAATGCGTCTTGTAGGTGGCCATCCCGAAAAGTATTCAGGACGCAAAAAACCGTCATATAACCGTAAGCGTCCCATTAAGTGTTTTCCAAGTTGACGAGTCAACTACCATTTTGGGACAGTTTTAAGTGACTTAACATGAAAATTTCTAATGAGACGTTTCATTGTGTCCCATTTATTTCAATTTTTATGACAATCAAAAGCGTCTCAATAAGGTG